TCGATTAGTTTTCTTGTATTTTCTACACATATTCCTGTCATGAGCGCCGCAAACACGGATAGACTAGTCTCATTCGCCATTCCAGCTGTTTCCAGTTCACACTCACCACATTCACTGCTCCAGTTTTAAAGGAACACACTCCAGACAGTTTCAAAGTTGTCCCTCGTCTGCGCTTCGGTTAGTTTTCTCCTATTTTCCACACATGTTCTCGTCTTAAGCACCGCAGTCACGGATTTCGTCGCACGTATTCCCCAAACTTCGCATATTGTTCCCTTATACCTACACGGAGGTACTGAATAGGTACACTGTAATTACAAAAAAGTTACGCTGTAAATTCTGTTTACTTACGCAGTACATTGCGGGTTGTAATCTAAAGCGTTACCGTTACTTACTTTTGATGCCTCAACCCCGCTGATTTAAAATCCATCAATCAAATAATTCCTAGATTTATTTTCATAATTTTCATGACTCGCACATGCATGTGATGTCCCCAGTGCAGCAGGCAAGCCTGGAATATGGAAAAGCTTACATTCAGCAGATAGAAATATTGCATTATATTGATTTTGTCAGGAAAAAAGATGATCTGAGCACTGTTGAGTAAGTTGTGGCTGTACTTTACTATGGCATTACATCCCACCCACATCCCTCTGATCAGCATGTGGTACATTATTACTATAATTAAAAATATTTTTGGAAAATTAAACAGTTTATTACAAACTTATGTGATTTGATAAAATCAATAATGTAATCGTATATGGGTAACAGAGAAATTACAAGCTTCAAGCTACACATGACAATTAATGAGATTAATATAACACTTCTACTTGAATGTCACTATCAATCACTAGAATTTTATTAGCTTCAAGCTACACATGACAATTAATGAGATTAATACAACACTTCTACTTGAATGTCACTACCAATCAATATTGAGTGTTTGTAATAAGTTCTGACTGCGATCCAATGTGGATTTTGGTCAAATGAAATATGTTGTTAGTAACATTCTAGAATAATTTTATGTGGAAGATGCACAGTTACTTCTGTGGGGCGTGAAGAAAAAGTAATGTAACTAGTAGTGTAACTAATTACTGTTGCCAGAAAGTAATAAGTAAAGTAACAATATTACTTTTGAAAGGAGTAACTAGTAATGAGTAATGTATTACATTCTTTGAGTAACTAGTCCAACACTGCCCATAATGTACTGTGAGGGTCATGCTGAATGAATTCCCACGTCTCGTCAGAAGATGGCGCCTGCAGCTGATTCATCTATCCATCCTTTTTTCAAACTGCTTGTCTAATGTGGGTACAGCATAATATCATACAGGTATAAATTAATTTTTAATTGATTTTATAGTTTAATTAAGGTTTATACATGCTAGTTTCCATGACAGAGTTCAAGATAAATATTTTCGTTACTACTGGAGCTACCAGTTTGCTAAGTTTCAAATTATTAACCCTTTAAAACCGAACGTGTCGGCGGCGACACAATTAACCATGCTGTATTCATGTTATCATAACTCACTAACCGTTTACACTATGAAAAAAAATCAAATTGCTCCCGATAGTAGACAACGTGCGTGTATATATGTATTATAGTTCCTTTTTCAAGACTGAGGCATTAGATTCTTTCGTTCATGAGTTTTCAGATTTTTTCTAAATAAAAAGCAGTTAAATTTCTTCCCGTTTTTTTATTTTTTGTCTATTTAAATTCTATTTACTAACTCACCACACACAATAATGTACAATAACTGTAATTTCCTGAAAGCCAATTATTTTCTGAAAAAAATGACACCTTACACTTGAAGATACCACATTGTGTTATAATTTTATACTCAAAAAACCAAAATGAGTGAAAACGGCCTATTTTAGCTTTAGGTTCTAAAGGGTTAAACAGCAAGCACAAACTATGCAAAAGCGGCTTCCCATTCCGCCACACTCCGTGTCCGAATTCGCTCACTTGTTTTCATTCACTTCTCAAATTGACTTTATTCGTGGACTAATGAAGGGAATAGTGAATAAGGGTATAAGGGGCGACTAGAAACTTCCAGGCTAGTGTGTTGGAGCTATACTTGTTAGGACGTTGGCCCTCCCGGAGCAGGATTGGACAACCATGATTTATTTAAATCCGTGATATTATTTTTAATATGCTTATTTTTCAAAAACATTGATGCATTTTTAATCTAGTAGTGTAACTTTTTTCTCCACAATTGTCAACAATATATTTTCATAAAAGGGTTTCATTATCACACTCCAGTAGTTGAGTACTTGTTTTACTTATCTGTCATGTACTCAAAAGGAAAAACAAAAAATGCCCATCCCTTATGTAACTGGAGCTCTCTGACATTCCAGCTGTGACACAGATGCAGTTGGAGGATGGCTGGCAAATCAAGTGCATGCAAAGTTCGGAATGTGGATATCAACCCATGCATTGAGGTCAGTCAGACTTGTGTGTGGTTGAATAAATTTAATGTAAACCATATATGTTTTTGACTAAATACGTTTAAAATTTATGTGCAATTTTGCGTTCAGTGCCGCATAAGTGAAGAGGTAGCAATTGTATTGTAATTGTAATAAATTTTAGTTGTTTAATCAACTACAGTGCCAGATATATCATGACATTTGTAATAAAATGAGATTTTAAAGCATATTTACTCTGTTTGCGTTGGCATAGGAGAGTGATGGTTCTCAAAAATGTTTGGATGCATACAACTATGATAAGAGCATGTGTTCTGCATACTTCATGAGATATAAAAACTGCAGGAAGTACTGGGTAAGTATACTGAGACACTAGGACCCACAAAAAAATAAAAATAAAAACTCTACTTGCTAATCTAATATTTCATAACCATTTTCTGTAGAGAAATGTACAATTTTGAAACAAATGTATACTAAAATTAGTCTTGCACAAGAATTTCCAAATGTAGATTTCTTCTGGGGAAGAAATGGTTTAATTATGTTTGTGAACCCCTGGATTTACCATAGATTTCTGCGTAAACTTCTGGGTAAGGATAGTGAAATCTTGCCTAAACCATGAAGAACTCACCTTATATAGTGCATTTAACTACCATGCACTAAAGGGATTACTGGTGAACAATTGAGCAATTTTGGACACCGCAACTGTCACGGTGTCACACACACGAGGGACGAGGAGACGCTGGAGAGGGGATCACGAGACACACCTGGGAGCAATGACACATCATGGGGAACACCTGGGACAAATGAACTAAACTAATCAGGGGAGGAACAGGAAACTAATCAAATAAGGGCATGGGAAGGCACATGGGGAGCAGGACACACACAACACATGGAACAGAGTCTGACAGCAACAGAGTCAATAACAAGAGCCGATTTTTCATATTGAGCAATATGAAAAATATATCATGATGATATTTTTGGCCATACTGCCCAGCCCTACCCCTGGTCCCCATCCGATCCCCATCCTGCTGAGACCTAGTCCCGATCCAATACTTGTATTTTCCTAGTGTTAGGTGCACACTTAAAGTACATTTAAAGGTATTGAATTCAGTCCAGTTTTTAATCCTGACAATTGAATATTCTGCAATGCATTAATAAAAATTGTTATGTAAAGTAAACAAACTTTAAACATATTTTCATTTGGCTCTTACCAATTAAAAACCATGGCTAACTACAAGACTAAACTAAAAAATGTGTTCTTATGTTCCCTTAACAGTATTGCACATTTAAAGCTAAATTGTTATTGTCTTGCGACAAATGTCCGAATGAAAAAGCTTCTCAAATGACAAAAACTGTGAGGCAGAAATTGATTTTGTCTTTTTGAAATTGATTGTATAGTTGTCTTTTTTTTTAATTGCTGCAATCTCATGTAAGTGACAGGTTGCTGGAGGGGAGGGATTATTGCCTGGATTATTTATTCAAAATTGACCTATCGGTAAGCCCCTCCCCTTGAACGCAAATGAGCCAGTGGCAGTTGAGTATCAGCTGCACAGGGACCTAAATTTGGACATCTTTAGGTCTCAGGGCCATAGAGAAACATTGGTTTTCATCGGTTTGATGGTGTTTATGCCGAAGTGCCTGGGGTACTTGTAACATTGATTCCTGGTATCCTGAGAAGATGGGCAATGGAATTTATTTTGTTCCATTTCAAAAACGGAGGAAATATCCCTAATCATTCAACCCCAATCCCAATGAAGACAAAAACGTTCATTTTGGCAGAAATCATGTTCATGGATGAGCTAATGATTTATTAATGTAGTAGGGTGAGGCTGAAAGCCGTCGAAGCGAAACAAGGCCGCTGAAGGAGCGTGACACACGGCTCGAAAGCAGCGGCGCTTTTATTATGCCACAGTCGACCGCTTCCGCTTCTTCCGGTCGTGCGTATGTGGGGGGGGAAAAGCAGTGCTGTTTTATCATACTAGATACATTTGAAAGTTCTGTTATAATGCTACTCTGTGCGGTCGTCAACGTTCTATTAAAACGCACAACATATTAAAGCGTTTTTGGTGTTTCCATGTTTTCTACAAAACCGGAAATCGAGGGGTTATGATGTCATTGGCAGGTGACACAATGACACTATGTCACTAGTTAAAATTGCTTATTTCTCTGGATTTAAACATTCTTTGAAACATTTGGGATAATGTAAGTACACAAGTCAGCAAAATATATAACACTGTTCTAGTGGTTTTTGGATATTTAATAAAAAAATCTTACATATTGTGCCTTTAAGTTACAATTTTCATCTACTCAAGCAGAACGTCTCTGGCCAAAACGTTAGTGAGTGCTAACGTACAAACCTAAATAGCTAACTGTTCTCACGTCATGTACAATGTAGGTCAAAAACACATAAACTAAGGTCTACATTTCAGTGCCTCTCCACATTAAACTGGTTAAATGTAAATTAATTTAATCTTACCCTGCGGTACTAATCTTACCATGAATCCTGGATGTTGTCATCTGCGATCGTGACGACCGTAATGAGGCTTCTCCCACTTGCATTGTGATCTTTAAACCTTCGCTTCTAAATTTATCGTTACCCACCATATTTATTTTAATATTTTATATATCTCTCCATGTTATATTTAAGTCTCACTTGAATAGTCGTCCTTCTGTGTCCAAAATTTATCAAAAACATCTTGGGACATGGTTTTCACACTGTCAGCTGCCATTGTAAGATAGTTAGCAACTCTTTTGTCCGAGTAAGCAACAGTAACTAAGGGGGGTGGGGCTTACCGATAGGTCTGTTGGTTTTAATATTTTAAATTTGCGGTTACCCTGTTTTATGATAAACCTTATTAAGTCCTCCTTGAATGTATGCCCCAACCTGTCTAATTAAGTAAAAGATTCTGAGATGCATTATTTTGAGTTTGCATCATTTTGTTCTGAATGGACAATGGAATGGCCAGTGAAATTTAAAGGGGTCATATGATGCAATTTCAAATTTTCCTTTTTCTTTGGAGTGTTACAAGCTGTTCGTGCATAGATAAGATCCCTAAAGTTGCAAAGACTAAAGTCTCAAACCCAAAGAGATATTCTTTATAAAAGTTGAGACTTGTCCACGCCCTCCTCGTTTAAACACGCCCCCACATGTCTACGTCATGGTGTGGGAAGATTTGCATAGCACGACCCAAAATTCACGCAAAGAAAGAAGGCGTAACTTTTATTCTCGCTGTAGTATTGTTGCCGCCGCCGCCATGTCGTGGAGACGCTGTGTGTTTCGTTGTGAAAGCGAAACTACTTTGTTTGGCCTTCCAAAAGAGGACGATATCCACTTCGTCATGCCTAGAGCTGATCCGTGCTGGCCGCTGAGGAAATACATCAGCCAATCACAACGCACTGGATAGCTGGCCAATCAGCGTACACCTCGCTTTTCAGAACGATGAGCTTTGTAAAAAATCGACGCGTTTCAGAAAGGCGGGGCATAGAGGAGAAACAATAATGTACAGTATGTGGAAAATAATGCTTTTTGAACCTTAAACCGCATAAACACATTGCATTACACCAAATACACAACATAATGTTCTTGTTAGCAACGTCATATGACCCCTTTAAACATACCAAGTGCACTGTTAAATAATTTGTATCTGAAGCTTGTTTTTTTTTTCACAAGAAAATCCCAACTGAAGCATTCTGATCTGTAGTTGTCTTAACATTTTTTCACCCTTCATGAGCTTGCATCCCTAATAATGAAACCATTCAATATTTGCAATACATGGGTTGCTTCTAGAATACATGCTTTTGAATGGTTTTCAATGGTGACCAATGCTCCTTTTCTGCATAATGTTGCTATGACATCTACCAGCAGGGGCTGATTGGCCAAACCCTGACCTGTTGCTGTTGACTAAGATTTGCTACTTGAGAGCATTATTATTAGATTAAAAAATAATAATGAAATAAAAGTGTATATGGCCCTGAGCAGAACATGATGTCATATTTTGATCCACTTTACCAAAAGTGAAAAACCACAGTATAGTCTAAAATCAAACCGATGTCTACCAAACTCTTTTGTTATTTTGAGGAGGATGAGCTCCCCTAGCTGAGTTTGGTTCATCCCCATTTATTTCCCTTACCACAGTCACTTTGGCCTCACTGGGGTTTGTAGTAGAGGTCGACCGATAGTGGATTTTGCCGATACCGATAGCTAGGTTGGACCACACTGGCCGATACCGATTAATTAACCGATAGTTTTTAAAATGGATACTGAACAAAGACTAAAATAATGCTTTATTAAAAAAACAGTACTGAACCATACTAGTAGTAGTAGTATTAGTAGTAGTAGTAATAATAATAAAAATGTTGACATTAACACACTCTAACAAGGAACAATACTTTCATTACACAGCTTTCATTAATCTTAATGTTACAAATGGACTCTTATTTTAAAGTGTTACCATTTCATTTCAACAGTCATGCTTAAAGATGCACATCTTTAAATATATACACAAAGGCCATAGCATTAAAATTATATACATATG